TACCAGGTAACAATTACTGAGGCTTCCGACACCAGGTTCCCGGTGGTGTATGTAAAAGTTGCTAGTTTTATTGTAGTGGTATTTGGTGATTTTCCAATGAACTTCAAAACAGGGGGAATATTTTTTTGTTTTACTCAACATGATCCATTGCATACTAAAACTGATGAACTTGCTCGCTTATCGGCCGGCTGCGTTTTCTAGGCAACGAAATAGGCCGATGTACTTACTATTGTACAGTGTAGACACCACGTTAGTAGCGCAAGAACATCTTGAGTCACCGCAACACATGCAGTGTTTGCTCTGCTTCCGTTTGCAGCTCGTGCAAACTTGTACAGAAGAGAAGATGCGTGACTGCAGATCTCAAAGTTGTTCGAAGAAAAGTGGTTTTCTGCTCTTGGGCTCGTTGTTTAAATACCGCGTTGACAAAAGCATCCGATACCTACTTTGTTAAAACTCGAGCAGCGTTGCACAGCATTTGAGTGGGTTTCGAGGTGTAGAAATTGGTGCAGGGTATTACAGTTGGACCTATCGGTGGATTTGGTATTTAAGATCGAGAATCTCTACGTCGGAAAACTTGTCAGTTGCATGGTAGTAATTCAACTAGTAATATTGGTTTTCAACACATTTCATATCTACTGTTCATGAATATGATGCCGGACACTTCGCAATTCACTGTGGCACGAACACAAGGATTTGCGCCCAGACGTCCCAGGACCACCACTTGCTACAAACTTGAGGCTTTACAGCCTACGATCCTTCTTCCTCCACGGCTCGACCGGACCTTACGCTCATGACGGGGGTCACAGCTGCGGTAGGGACGCATTTGCGTCCTCCACCCGACCCAGGAGGACAACCGATGTCAGTACGGTTGACAACGGTCACTCCGACACACCACGACGAGGGACCTCCAGCCAACCCTACACCTGAGCAGGGTGAGATTCATTTGGAAGAAGGTGACCGACAAGGAGAAAACTCGGTGACGACACCATCGGACGCGCAGGGAGTATCGGCGCCGGCCACCTTAGTAGCCATTGCTGCACATCCCGCGCCTCCTAAACCCCATGTCGCTCGCAGTTACGCTGCAGTTGTCCAATCCACCAACGAGCCATCGGTAACGAAGCGTTCAACACTGTACATGAACTCAAAATCCAAGCCCAATTTCCCCATGGATGTCATCGAGAGATTACACACTACACTAGCTAAGGACTGGACATCACCGCGATCTTCTATTCCAAACAGTGAAAATGATGCATTCCATGTGACAGCGTTAGCGGAGACCGACACACACACTGACGATCATTTGCGCCCTCGCACTCCACAGGAGAGTGCAGCTTTACTCGCTTATTTTCGCGGAGAACTGGAGATCGACCACCCACCAAACTTTCTTAAGGCCACCATGCCAGTCATCCAACGCGCAATGGTCGAACAGTTTCATGAGGCTCATGTTGAGTACTCACTCACTGCACTTACTCCTCCTCAAGTCAAGCTTTGGAAAAATATGACGCACGGAGCCTTATTTGCAGAGCTGCAAAACGCGAATAGAGATGAAGTTAACGGGGAAGCCATGCTCAATCGCATGAAACGTGACATCAAAATGCTTCATTATGATGGTATACAAACGCTTCGGTTTGTCTTCCACTCCAAAAGAATCGCCAAATTTTATCAAGGAGTGACACTGCGCTTGCAGCGCACTACAATTGTTGTTGAGGATGCAGATTTCCGTCGAGAAAACCAATCCCCAGGGTGCTACGACGTAGCTCAGGTTAGACGACTGTACTCGCTACGAGTCTTTGGAACTGATAAAATCGGACTAGTGACGCTTATCGCAGCGTTTTCGCAGTTGTCTGGTGTGCAGGTACTCGACATCCAGCGGGCGAGGGTAACTGACACTCAAATGGTGACTGCAGGTATGCTGAAGTCATATTCGGCCAAACGACATGCCCTGTCTCGCTAAGGGGAGTGACGCAAGTGCTGTTTGGAAACGCAGTTGTGAAGCTTCATCATCACCTACTTCATTCTCGTTCACCATGCTCCCGTTGTTTCAACCCGAAACATACGACAGGTTTCTGCAAGGCGAAAGCGGAACACTTGGAGCCAATCAGGAAACGGGGACGAAGGATTTTTACAGGTAAACGCATACCTTTTGATGTAGGCGATGTGGTCACGTATCGCCACACAGATTGCGATAGTCTGGAAAGCTTCATCCAAACACTGCAAGGGGAACTAGGGCTCCACGACTTATCAACTCATACTGAAGCACAACTACTGACTGATACAGTGGTTGTACCCCGAAAACCAGCGAGCGCTGTTGTGACCACACCAAAGGAGGATGAAGGTGGGTATACGGTTGTAAGAAGCGCGTCAGCTAAACGACGGGAGGTACGGAAGGCCTCGAAGGCTGTAAAGAACAATAGCTCCACTGAGAAGGCTGCAACAAGTCAGAAACATCCACAACAGCCAGGGGTAGCGCCAGCAATCCGCTCGACAGGGGCAGCAGCGGAATCGAAAGCGACCACACCTGCTGCACCGGCGTCGGTGTGGGACAACGAGGCACAATATGATGCAAGTCAGTCCGTACGACACGACGAACCCAAACATCCTATAACAGGAAGGTATGAAGCGTTGATGTCGGATGATGAAAATGACTCCGAGGATGACAGCACTCACAGTGCAGAAGAAGCGCCATATGCGTTTTCTAGGGAGGATGAAGAAACAAAATCTGAATCTTCCTCACCCAATGTAGTGACAGACGTCGAGCGGACATCACCCCGCGGCATGGTTAGCGCTGATGGAGTGAGTGTAATGAAAGAGAACCCCCACGTTTACGTAGAGCCGGATAGCCACTCTGGCGATGACAAAATGGACATCGACGATGTAACAGCGACTAACGCAGCACACACGGCAGTAAAAGCTGCGGGGATAACTGCGACACGGGTAAACACTTTTTCACAGGGGCAGAAGGAAAAGAAAAGAGAAGACTCTCAAGGTCAGCCCACGAAAACACGTCGAACTCAGCATAAGAAGGTTTCAGCATCCCATCAGACCAACTCAAGACAAGGATTTGTCCAGCGAACTATGAGGGATTTCGCTGGATCTGCAACTCCAAAAGCTAATGTGGCAGAAACAGCGACGGAGAAAGTGGAGGAGAAGGCGATTTCGGCTGCAAATGTACCCGCCAGTCCAGGCTCAGACGAAGAGTTTACTATGGGTGCGGCTCACACTGGTTCGAGTGAGGGAGACCGGGACCTGCCGATACAACTAATGCAATGGCTAGAAAGCTTCAATGGAAAACAAGTGGAAGTGGATGCAAACGGACAATGCGCAATGTTGGCATTTTACGCTTCCACGAAAAACCATGATGGGGTCTCGTTGCCTAAATCTGCACAAGTCACGAGAGGGGCTAACAGACTCAAACGCTTTGTGTACGCGATTATGCTGTCCAACTTGCGCAATGATGTGGAGCTCGGCATTGTAGACCCCATCTCAGAGCTCACAAGGCTTTACCCTGATCGAGAACACACGGAAAGTGTTGCCGCTGCCACGGCTAGTCTGTTTACCCATTACGTCACCGAGCGAGATAGATCGGTCTCGTCCCGCGTGGCCTCCAGGTTTTGGGCTGGAACCCATGAATTACGAGCTATGGCGCAGTATCTGAGAGAACCGTTGCTTGTGCTCGATGTTAACGAGCACAATGATGTTCACATACAGAGATACATGTACAAAGAATACCGACTTGCGGATGGCACAGACCATGAGTCAGGGTACGTCGAAGCTCTTACAGACCGAGCTGCACGGGATTACCTTTACGAATGCTGGCGACTACATGTGATGCCAACATTCCTAATCCTGCACCACCAAAACCGTCACTTCTCAGGAGTACAACACGGAGAATTACTTCTCAGATGGAATGCGGAAGGTGACCCAGGCTATGCAGCTATGCTTGATTCTACGTACGAGTGGAGAAACACGGTGAATATCCTTTCAAACGGAGAAGATATCGATTTAAGTGAGATCAACGTATTAGAGAGGAATGATGCGATTGATGCAGTGATGACAAAGAAGCTTCCAATGAACGAGCGCCTGAGAATTGTGCTTACTAGGCTTGGGCTTCCGATTCTGGATATGCACGAACTAGATGAGCGGAAACTCGATGAAAATATTGTGGAGGAAGAACGGCTCATCCATGAATCCTACGGCATTGATGGATATGCCAGCGGGTCGCAGGTAATCCCAAAGGAAACCAGCATATCAAATGATTGGACCGAACACCCGAAGAGAGCGCCGCGAGTAGCGACAGGAACTGCGGTTGAGGCTGCATACAGCAGAATACTTGGAATGGCGGATGTCAGAGAGGTGGAATCCACGGACCGCCCAACGTACGACTTGATTTGTGCAGCCAATCGAGAGGCGTTTACGAGATGGACTAACCTCTATCGAGCGAAGTTTTCCATCCCGTTGATGAAACGCACTCAAACAATGAGCGAAACCATTCGATCGTGGCTATTAGAACATCACCAGGTTTTGCGGCACCTATTTGCGTATCTCCCATATCCAGAGCTTGAAGCAAAATGTTGGTCCAGGAAGGATTTATTGGCATGGGGGGAGATCGAGGCTTATCACGAACAAACGCGCGCTCGAACGAATCATCGATGGCCATAATCAATCTACAGAGGTGAGGGAATTCTGCGCCAATTGGCATGTAGGATGCACGGCGTTGGACATCCCACGACCCGTTTCGCATGCATTGGCAAGATCACCAGATCAATGGAAGCGGCTACGGCTTTGGGTACCAGAAGAACTCTGTCGAGACAATTACGAGCACATCCCTGAGGCCACTTGGGCTCTCATACACGTCCTCCCATATGTGGTCACAACTTGGTATGCAACCCCAATGGGGCGAGTCCCAAATGGTGCCCGACTGCTATGGTATCGCGAATATCCGTACGTGGGGGCACTTTGCAGGGGTATTCTATCAGAGGGAGACTGGAGTAGCGCCGTCGATGCGCCTTTCGGATTGTATTGGGCAGATTGTGACGAGACCTCACTGGGAAGCACACACTGTTCGCAGCGCAATTAAGGGCGCCCCATACCTATCCGAGTCGAAGACGGAAATCTCCTCGTCGACTGCCCAACAACAGACTACCACCAAATTGGTGCTGACAACACTGAGAAATGCTTTCGAGATTGGGGATGCAAACGACATTGTGAAAAATCGACGGAGAGAATATCAACGCCTTAAACGCAATATGGCCAAAAGACGAAAAAAGTTAGAAAGAGAAGCGAAGACAGCAAAACTACGCCCTGAAACACGCTTACATCAGGACGACAGGACATTCGGACTTCTTTCGCAAAATGTGAGAGGATTTGGAGCGACGCCTATCGAACATCGGACTTGGCTCAACTCGCTTGGGCGACGAACTGCGCACGGGAATCAAGATCTAGTGTTACTTCAAGAGACTCACGTACACGCAGAGGAAACAGAGGAAGCTCAACGAGAGCATGCAGCACGGTGGGGCTTTCGAAGTGGCGGTGGAGGACGAGCACTATCTTACTGGGGAGCAGCAAGGGAACGCAAAGGCGGGGTCGGGATCCTCGTGAACCCGTTTGGGGCATTTCAGGACGTGAGGCCGTTGTGTGAAAAAGCATGGTCTTCACACCTGGTGGCGGTGACGGGTACTTTTGACGGCCAAGAGGTAGCGGTGATTAACGTATACGCACCCATCGAGCGCAAAGCTCGGGAAAAACTTTTTGAGATGGTTGCAAGACTGACATTACCAGCGCATGGGAGGGTTTTCATGGGTGGAGACTTCAATTGTACATTGGTGGGACAGTTGGACCGGACCCACACGCATGACGCACATGCACACGAGTCTCCAGCATTGCGACTACTTCTGAAGAAATGGAAAGCACGGGACTGTCTGGAAACAGCAATGCCCTCGCCGAGTGACAGACACCGAGTTGCAAGATTTCATAGAAACCAACACTCCTATCGGTACACTGTACACGGTGACCCTGCTTCATCTCGCCTCGACCGTTGGTATGGAACGGATGCAGCACAGCTTTGGGTTGCTGGTGTCGAAGTAATCCCCCCAGCAGCAAAAGCGGATCATGACGGTATTCAACTCCATATACGATCACCAACCAATCCAATTCAAGTGAAGAAGCCAACTCGCACGTACCCAGTGCCTCCATATGCTACGAGTTTAGTAGCAGCATGTACGCATGGTATTCTGGACGAACTCCACGACCGACTACGTGACAAAACTCACTCGGCAGCAGAAGTGGTCACAATATGGGAGGACACTAAGCAACGTCTTTGCAGCTCAATTAAACGCTGCAAACGCCAGGCACGGCATCGGTTATCGAATACTTACCGTCAAAAATTGGCACGACTTTTGAAGCAACAGAAGACGGCAATAACGGCGGAAAATGGTCGGGCAGATGACATTGAGGACTTGACCGCGCGGCTTGATGGACTGTCGCTGGGAGACATTCTAACTGGCACGCGTATAGACAATATTCGTCGAAAGATAGCTAAACTGCAAGAAGAAAGAGGGAGACAGAAAATGAAGCAGCGGATTCGACGCAAGACTTGGCATGACGGAAGGTCAACTGGGCTACTTTTTAAGACCACATCGATAAAATTCTCGGACAACTAAGTTCCTTTAATTGTTCCAGCTGCGGGATGTCCACAACGAGAAGTCCACGACAAGGCTAACATGTTTGCGGATGCATGGAACCCGATATTTAATCAACAAAAAGCAACAGAGAAAGATATCACGGACTCGCTGAGCTGGACAAGAGAACATCACGGCCCAGATGATGCCTCCAAAGCACTCATTGCTGAAATAACTGAGGAAGAAGTAGCAGCAGCGATCCGTGCCTGCAGCCCAGGGAAAGCGTGTGGTCCAGATTCACTGAGCAATGATTGGTATCGGGACTTCGAGGAACAACTGACACCCATCTTGACAATTTGGTTTAATATTTGGTACAAGAAGGGAGTTTTTCCGAACACATTCCTAGAAGCAGATATCTTCTGCTTGAAGAAATCTGGAGATGCATCGAACCCGCTCAATTATCGGCCACTTGCGTTGCTAAACTCCGACTATAAAATATTCACAAGAATCATGGCCACGCGAGTCAGCAAGTCACTCTCGCCACGGATTCATGAGCACCAAAACGGATTTGTCCCAGGTCGCCAAATCCACGACACCATTGATCTCTTCATGGCCGCTCAGGTGGTTACCAATGCCGACGCTGAACAGCATGAGGCTGTTGCACTCCTCCTCGATTTTCAGAAAGCATACGACTCACTGAATAGAGAGTTCCTAATAAAAGCGATAACTGCGCATGGTTACCCGGAACAATTCGTACAAGCAGTGGCTCGACTCCATGATGGAATTCGCGTCCGATTTTTGGTGAATGGGCACCGGTCTAGATGGGTGGAGGTAACAACAGGAATAAGGCAAGGTTGCCCCCTAGCTCCGCTCCTCTTCATATTGGCACTCGACCCATATTACAGAACGGTGGAGGCATCAACATCGCTGCGTGGTGTGAAATTAATGAACGGCAAACAGGAAGTAGAATTGCGAATTGGTGGGTACGCGGATGATACGGCTATTTATCTCGACTCTCCCAAACGGATCACTGCTCTCCTAGAAATGACGGCTAAATTCAGTGCGGCCAGTGGACTCCAGGTCAACGCGAGTAAGACCGTGGTAGTCGCACTACACTTCAAGGGACCTACATCAAACATAAAATTACCAAGTGGACTTCGCTTTCAAGAAATCAGTGCTTTTAGTCGGTACCTGGGAGCGCATGTCGGTAGTCGGGATGCCACAGAATACTCTTGGGGGAAGGCGATTCGGCAAATGGAGGCTCGTCTCCGCATTGCATCGGTTAAAATGTTGACGGAGGAGCAACGTGGTGTCCTAGCGGCAGCAATCATTATTCCAAAGATAACATACGTAGCACGACATGCATGGCCACCACTCAAGTGGCTCAAAACCTTACAAAAATGCATCCACAATTTCGTGTGGTTTGGCATATTTGCAAGAGAAGTCACTCATGGTAGAGCTTGGATAGCAACCGGCATTGCTGCTCTTCCTCGAAGAGAAGGTGGCCTAGGGATTCCGAGTGTACGAGCAGAATGTATGGCGATGGCGGCTTCGGAAATAACGAGATGGGCGTCATGCAACAGCGACACCATACGAATCGTGGGTGACATACTGCACGGGGCACACACGGTCGAGATCCAACGTGAACAATTCATTACTATTGGATACCACCCGGCGCTACTACACGGAAGGAAATTCCCCTCTTCCAACTGGCAAGCAGGGCAAGAAATGATCAACATGGCTGGACAGGATGATCTCAACATGCCGTTCGCAGAATTGACGAGGAAAACATTTAGCGTGATAACAGACCTTCTGCCTGACGTCTCAGAATGGGCCGATGGTACGTGCACCATTGCAACTGGAGCACTGAAAGGCACAGGAACGATTGGTATGCGTCAATGGACGCAAAAGAACCGAGGTGTCTTTTGCGTGGAGTGGTTGCCTAGGATGGCGGTCAAATACCTTATGCTTTTTGATGAGACTGGATCTCGTGTAACCCCTGAAATTTGCAACTCCATGATGGTCCAGGCCCAGACGACGGTGGGAGAATTAATGCGGTGGGCACATATAAGCGCAACGGACGTGGCATTCCAATTGCTAAAGCATGGCTCCCCAATCCAACGCCCCTCCTCAATCCGACTCGCCCACATGACACAACTCATCGGCCTGCTACTCCTCAATTTCCCAGAAATGGTATATCAAACTCCTTACCCTGAGGAGGTACGATTGGTCACCACCAGTGTTGACCACCCTTATGTACTGCAACTACCCGATGACAACCAACGACGTGCAGTACTTATTACTGTTGGCAAACAAGCTACAACAGAATTCAACATTACTGGGGGCCAAAAACTTCTAGCTGATGTGCAAGCTGCAATTTCACCTGAGCATGTGGTAAAAGATTTTCATCTTCACCCTAGGCTAGATCGCCTAGCATGTTTAGGGGCAGGCAAACGAAGGTGGGCCCGTTCCTGTGCTCAATTCAAAAAGATCTACACTGCACACAGCAGGGAGACTGGTAAATTGCAGTTAGTCAAAAGAACTGAAAGACGGAGATCGGATGACCCGTTGATTCATTCAGCGCTGGAGTCTGTGTCATGGCAGGAGATTAGAAGATGGATCGGAGCGGATGCCTGGGGAGAGCGGTTATTATATCGCATTAAAACGGGAAGCCTCACATGCTTTGATCGGATGCAGAACAGAACCGGGTGTCCTCACTCGGAATGTGTAGGCCGAGATGACATCACTTTATCCCACATTTTTTGGGAATGTCCGGCAGCGACATCGATATGGACCACATTTATTTACCAATGGGCCAGTCTAGGGTATCCGGCAGCAATGCAAACCCCAGATACGTGCTTCACGTTCAAATTTGGAATGGTTCCTCGTGCAATATTAGATCGCCATGCAAAAGAGAACTTCTGGGTGCCTCAGATTGAGCGAGACGCGGTCGGACTTCAATTACACAGAGCCGCGGCGGATTGCTGGAAACTTGGAGTCCTCTGGGTTCTACGGATCATTTGGAAATGGAGGACCGAACATTATGCAGTGAACAAGGTGCTGACGGCGAAGAAATTCTAAGCAATCGCACTCGAGAGATTCAGAGAAGGACACCGAACAGTACAAGCTGCATACCACGAAGCAAACTTGCCACGACCTGCTTTAACAGCAATCCGAGTGGTAGTGCAAACCCTAAATGGGAACAATACAGCGACACCACTCCAGCTTGACACGAAAACCAGCAACTACGTACTGTTCTTCGACGGGGTTTCTAGAGGAAACCCAGGCCCAGGTGGCAGCGGGGCCATCATATTGAAGGCGGATTCTGACTCTTCGAACGCGGCACCGATATGGATGGCGAGTATGTCATATGCGAACAAGAAAACCACTAACAATCAGGCGGAATATCGAGGGCTGCTGTCTGGACTGCTATTTGC